AAACAGCGGCTGCAGCTATACTGTACTATAAAACCGATACATAGAAGCTCGAATAAACGTTATAAAATAAAATAAAATAAATGTTAATAAATGTCGAGTATGAGTTGGTATTTCAGTTCCATCCGTAAAGGATTTTTCACTGCTAGATTTGATTCTGCTATGAATATTCAGCTACATTTGGGATCAAGTCTACAGCCAAAGTCCACACACGTTCTCAAATCAGTGACTTTGACGTTGCTCTTAATCGTTCTCTAGCAATGTGTTGTTCTGCCTGTAGGATCACCTCTTAGAGAAACACTGCTTATGAATCCACGGTAAATCCAGCATTCCAACTGACTCCTAATCTAGACCCTCATGGCACTTCCCATGCTGGAATGAACCGGAATAAGGAATAGTTTGGCCAGAAATCACATTGCCATGATTTTCCTTGTACCTTATATGTGGCCGATCAGCCGAGACATGTTTGGATATGAGGCAAGTGTTTGACAATTTAAACATACAGTTAGCATGTTGCTAATCGGTGCGGTATAAGCGTCTATTACTTGTTAGCTACATTAACCTCATAGCTTCAGTGCTGAAACAAAGGAAGCAAGCTTGAGACACCAAACATGGCTTGGCTGATCGACTACATTTGGAGCAAGAGTGGAAAATTCACTATTTATTTGTTTGCTAAGATGTTTCTGTAATAAAGAACGGCTATCTTGGTTTTCTCAACCAGCAGAAGCATCATAACTTCGGTGAAACACTCAGCTGGACAATACAAATGTTTCAATACTGCAACAATCGAGCTTTTGGAATAACTATAAAACCCACAGTATGGATCCGCAGCCCGCTCTGTTGGTGAAGTGCTCTAGCCCAGGGCCTCTTTCTGCTCTCTCTGCATTTGAGGCTGTAATTGTGATTGATTTTTTTCTTGTTCAATCTGGTGTTGAACTGTAATCAGCTCTATCAGCTCAGCATTGGCCTCCGGATACGATTGTCTGTGCGGAGCCATCCGACAGTAATCGCGTGCTAATCTCAGCCGAGCGCGATGGGATAAGAAGACTTAGCGCTGGAAGATCAGCACACATGTGGGCTGCTGTTAGCGAGCGCTTTCTGATTCTGCTGCTGTTAGGACTCGAAAGCCACTTAGATTTGATACGACTTGACCTTCTCACCCGCGGCTGTTGATTTGTCCCTCTCGTGCTGGTTTGTACCCAAGTTCTGGTGTCTGCTTAGTCTTAAACAATGGGCTAATGTGAAATATATAGGGTGGCATTACTGTAGCCAACAGGGAAGGGGTGCCAGGAGGCCACTTTACGTGTCCAGCCCCCCTGTCCATATACACTGACTGTCCACTTTATTGAAAACACCTACTTAGCGCTTCCATTTTCTGTCCAATTTATGAACCCCACCTAACTTATAGGTCCAGTGGGGAACGCTAAAGGCCTAATAGGCTTTTAGAGAAAGCCATGATTTCTGGCAACTAAAAAATACGTCAGTTACTGGAGTTCATTTCATGGAATTATTAAGTTGTTGTATGTAAACTCTATATATTACTCATATTCCATTGTAGGTTCGGTTGCAAAAGAGTTAAAATCTTGAAAAGCCCAATGAAAAACTGTCCAATCAGGATTTTCCATTCTGTGGTATCTAGCTAGAAACAGCCAAAAGAGCCCTCCCATTGGTTAGGGCTTCAGAAGCTGGACAGAAGGCCTTACATGTTAGATTAACTACCAACATAATTCAGAAGTGACAGAACAATTTGATTTCCAGTAGGTAGAACCAATTTTTTGAGGAAAGTCTAGGCCTTCTGGAAGGTCTGAATATGTTGCTGACTGTGAATATGAGTCGTAGTCTAAGCAGGTTTCAGGTGGTTGTTAGGAATGGAAAGCAGTGGCGGCAGCTCTATGTCAGGACTCTTTACTGAGCCTCTGTAAAACTGATTCTTACAAGCTCAAATATATGTTAATGTCTGTTATGAGCTTCATATAAAATTTTTAAATAAAACTTTTACAAGCTTCTAATGTCTGTTTTTAATCTAGAATGGCCAAAAATCTCCATGTGCACCAGCTTTATTGTCAATTACAGACTGTAGCCCATCTGGTGCTGAACATTTTATCAGCTCCACTCTATCTCATTCATCATCGGTCAGTTTCCGACCACAGGACCGGTGGTACAAAGCACAACCAATGCTGTACAGTGTTCTTCCACACGTTGCATGCATTTACATAATTCCACCAGAGAGGTCTCCAAATCCCAAAAACTTAGTGTAGATTTAACTTAAGTTAAAGCTCAACACATGAGCAGGTTTGGGCCATTTCTTTTGGTTCACTGGTCATGAAAAGTTCACCCAGAGTAAAGGACAGCAAAACGATGAAAAATGTAGAACTGACAAAAACTCGTAAAATGATTTTTACACGACAGTAAAGAGAACAAAGCTGACTCAAACTCAGAGTGGCAGTGTTGGTGCTCACTTTCCATTTATGCTGATCTGAGACCACGTTTATTAAATATTACAGAGGACAGGAAGAGCTCTTTCTGAAATGAGGGTGCAGAGCCATTTCTGTGCACAACCTCACTTTCAAACTCTGCTCAGAACAGTTTGATCAACACTTTTCTTCTGTAATCTAGACTAAATGTGGCCAATTCAAACAGCATGACTGAACCAGAACCCACACCAAACACTGAGAGGTTCAACAGTTTACACTCAGTACTTTCAACAATATAAATCCTATATGATTGCAAATATATGTATATGATTCCAACATGTTCATATGTCCAGAAAGAAGTTCTAATGAAATTAATATCCACAATGAAGCTATAACAACATTAATATCCAGAATAAAACAGTTATTATTAGTTATTATTAAACAGTTATTATGCAGAATGAAATTCTAATAAAATGAATTCATAGAAAGAAGTTCTAACAAATGTATTATCCTCAATAAAGTTCTAATAAAATTAATTTCCTGACTGAAGTTCTAACAAAGTTATTATCCAGAATGGAGTTCTAACAAAGTTATTATCCAGAATGAAGTTCTAACAAAGTTATTATCCACAATAAAGTTCTAATAAAATTAATATCCAGAATGAAGTTCTAAGAAAGTTATTATCCAGAACAAGGTTATAATAAAATTAATATCCAGAATGAAGTTCTAAGAAAGTTATTATCCAGAATGAAGTTCTAATAAAATTAATATCCAGAATGTAGTTCTAACAAACTTATTATCCAGAATTATGTTCTAAGAAAGTTATTATCCAGAATGAAGTTCTAAGAAAGTTATTATCCAGAATGAAGTTCTAAGAAAGTTATAATCCAGAACGAAGTTCTAAGAAAGTTATTATCCAGAACGAAGTTCTAATAAAATTAATATCCAGAATGTAGTTCTAAGAAAGTTATTATCCAGAACGAAGTTCTAACAAAAATATTATCCAGAATTATGTTCTAAGAAAGTTATTATCCAGAACGAAGTTCTAACAAAAATATTATCCAGAATGAAGTTCTAATAAAATTAATATCCAGAATGAAGTTCTATTAAAATTAATATCCATAACGAATTTCTAATCAAATTATTGTTTGGAATGAAGTTTTAATAAAATTATTTATTATTTATTATTATTTCCAGAATAAAGTTCTAAAAAATTCATATCCAATGTGAAGTTCTAATAAAATCACTGCCCAGAATTAAGCTATAATAAAATATTGTCTAGAATGATTTTTTACACAAATGACTTAATTTGAAATAAATTTACTTTGAAATTAAGTTGAAATGAGCTTAAAATAAATGTCTAGAATGAAGTGAAATAAACAGAATGCATCGCATTTTAAAAATAACCAGTTTTTTCCCAAAATGGTTAAAATACCATCTTGTGTCTAGTCTATAATATTTACTTGTACACTGTATTAGCTATTTTTGAATATATACTAACACAAAAATATTAATATGACATGTAATTGCAAATTTTTGAATGGTAATTCAATGGTTCAGTCAAGAGCGACTTGATTTCAGATGAAGTGGCAGATCATTGGTCAGTTTGGAGAAAGATCTGTGTGTGTGTGATGTTTATTGCAGGAGATGGTGTGTAAACAGTGCTGCTGATTGCATGTGTGGTTGTTGTTGAGGGGTCATTTCCATGCTGGACTGGAGAGATCAGCCCATTTTATTGGACTCTTATATAAGACCTTCAGTCTGTTTATCTGTAATTCAGCTATAAGAGCTTCTATCCTTTTTACAGTCTGTTCAGTTTATTTCCATATTTATCAGGTTATTCTATAGTTGTAGTTCTACAGTTAGTCCATCTGTTTCCCTGCATACTTTGCTACCCTGTTCTTCAGTGGTCAGGACCCCCATGGACCCTCACAGAGCAGGTACTGTTTGGGTGGTGGATCATTCTCAGCACTGCAGTAACACTGACGTGGTGGTGGTGTGTTAGTGTGTGTTGTGCTGGTCTGAGTGGATCAGACACAGCAGTGCTGCTGGAGTTTTTAAACACTGTGTCCACTCACTGTCCACTCTATTAGACACTCCTACCTTGTCAGTCCACCTTGTAGATGTAAAGTCAGAGACGATAGCTCATCTGCTGCTGCACAGTTTGTGTTGGTCATCCTCTAGCCCTTCATCAGTGGTCACAGGACGCTGCCCACAGGACGCTGTTGGCTGGATATTTTTGGTTGGTGGACTATTCTCAGTCCAGCAGTGACACTGAGGTGTTTAAAAACTCCAGCAGCACTGCTGTGTCTGATCCACTCAGACCAGCGCAACACACACTAACACACCACCACCACGTCAGTGTTACTGCAGTGCTGAGAATGATCCACCACCTGCTCTATGAGGGTCCATGGGGGTCCTGACCACTGAAGAACGGAGTAAAAGGGGGCTAACAAAGTTTGCTGAACTAACTGTAGAACTACAAAGTACATAAAAAGGATACTGAGTGTAGACAGAAGGTATGTGAGCAGTGAGTGTGTATGCGTGTGTGTGTGTGTGTGTGTGTGAGTGTGTGTTGAGATGACTCACTCGTATTGTTCACTGCCATCGTAGCTCCGCATGGCGAAGGCGAGCGTCGCTCTGAAGAAAAACATCTCACTCTCGTTCCACTGATACTGACCACACACACACGTGAATGAGATCAATGTAAGTATAAACAATATCAATGTATAAACCATATAATACAACAAGTAAAATGACCATCTTCAGATTTGTTCTGTAATAACACAGCAGATTACTGGGTGGTAGATGCTAAGCTGTACCGCACGGCATTATGGGACAACTGAGAGTCACAAAGACACAAAATTAGTTTTTGCTTATGTTTGTGCAAATTATATACAACTTTACACTGTGTAAATGTGCTAACTTGAGATATTTTGTGCGTATACACTGTAAATCAATATGAGTTCATTTCAATTCATGTTTTACGTTATATAATTTTTCTAAAATAATACATATTTGATCATATTAAAAGACTTTTATATATATATATATATATATATATATATAAATGCACTTTCATTTACAGTTGTTACATAAAATACAGTAGATTACCGTAATTTATGTACATGGTTTTACTGTAAGTACAGCAGCTCCATCACAGTAACATTGTGGTGTAGGTGACTGAATACAGCTGTTATTCTACTGTTACTTACTGTTGATATCGTTACTGTTGTTATTTACCTTGAAAGTAACTGGTAGCCAGTAATTTACGGTAATTTTACAGTATTTTTTTAACAGTGCATTCATTATTATGGATATCAATCTCTGATCTCTTGATCAAGATTGTTGGCGAAATGATTCAATGCATTCGAAGGCTTGCATCCAACACTGCCCACTACATACCATCGAAAAAACACTACACCTCCATCAGAAGTGCACTTGTGAGTATGGTAGTGAAGACAAATGACATTTTGGATGCAGCCGAAATCCCAAATTTCAAAATGATTCATTTTGATTCATTTAATTTTGTGTGATTCTGAATCATCTGATTCAAAGGTACACTGAATGCGAACTAGAGGAACTGTTTACACAGTAATGGAATGCAGACAACATAAACAATAAAAATTACGTGGATTCAGGTATTTTGGGACACTTTAGGAAACATGTAGATGATTAATTCTGCTGTTTCCCAAATGACCTGAACTCACACTGCAGATATTTTCATATATATTTTATTGAATATTATTATAATCAATTCCAGTTGATTTTAAAATCCCATAGTCAGTGCTGAATCACCACCCTCCCCGTCAAAGGGGAATTCCACCAAGTTTTTCAAGTTTTGGGTATAATTAAATGTTGAAGATGTAAACAGAGTCATTCAGAGTGGTTTGGTGTGAAATGCTCTGTTCTAGAGTCAGAACTGTTCACAGTGGTGGTGATAGGAACCAGACGTCCACCTCTAAAACCTCCCTCACAGAAAGTTACTACAGGAAATGGTTATGAATTCACTGCCTGATGACTGAGACACTGTTTTACAATAGTTTGGAGAAGATTTTGGCCTTCAAATCTACTCATGGTGGAGAGATACATTTTAAGGCAAAAACAGTCCCCAAGGAAAGTGTATTATTTTGGATTTTCCGCTATTTAACCATCATCAACATTCCACATAAACACTCCGAAGACTGGTGTAGGTTCACTGGTGGTTCTGGATAGTAAATATAATGTCTATATCTGTGTTGTAGTCATGGCGACCCCTGGTTCCTATCACCACCACTGTAAAGACATCTGAACCATTTCACACCAAACCACTCTGAATCACTCTGTTTACATCTTACCGAATTATGCAGAAATTTAGAAAAATAGGTGGAGTTCCCCTTTGGATGATCTGGACTGTTTGGTAAATGAATCAGAAGGATGAGATGGGTCATTTAGTTAAAATATAAACTTACAGCGTCATCTCCCAGAGCTGTTTTAATACTGAGCCTCACTTTATAACCGTCATCTACAGAGAGAGAGAGAGAGAGAGAGAGAGAGAGGGAGAGAGGGAGAGAGAGAGAGGGAGAGAGAGAGATAATGTGAGTGATAAACAGACCGATAACCCTGTTTGGCCTCTGTGTGACCTGTTGTGATAAATGTAGCTTTTACCCAAACTTTCTTTTCCCTGGTCACCAAAAAAATCTCCCTGTATTCTTTAATATCTGTTTGATTTCCTTTAATATTTCCATTATTTTCAGTTGTTTGTTTATTCATAGCAGCGCTTGTGAGAGAACCACTTTTTTGGCAGATAAAGCTGGAAGTATGAGAAACATGTACAGTACTGTACAAAAGTCTGAGACCGCCATCTGTTCCATTAACGTCCAGTCAAAACAGCCACTAAGAACAAGTTATTAATTCACATTAATACAACTAAATATAATAGCAGTTTCTCAGTTCTCAGTCTGTCACTCTTCACCTTCGTTACAGCTTCAGTTCTTTCTTTACAAAGTTCAGTCTTAGAAGCTGGTTGATCGTTTTCTGAAGTGATCAAACACATTCAGTGGTGTTGAGGTCTGGACTCTGGGGTGGTCAGTCCATCGTTCAGCTTCTTTGTTTGATGTGTCCGTCTCCTTTTCTCAGTGAGGTTCTTCTTGATCAGCTACACATCCTTTCAGACCCACAGCGCTGAGTCGTCTTCTCACAGTGGAAGGATGGACAGAAACACCTGTGGATGTTTTCAGATCTGGAGCAGCTTGATTTTCTCCTCTCTCTCAGAGATGGAAGCTTTAAGTGCTGTTTATCTGATGGGGGCAGTTTTGGGGTCTACTGGGTCTTCCAGGTGGTTGTTAGGAGGAACATTTTCTCTGTAGCCTTTAATCAGTTTTAGAACTCCAGTTTTGGAAAGTTTTGTTTTTTTTCTTTGACTTTTGTGAGCAGATTATCTCATATATGACCTCCTCACAAACATAAACAATGAGTAACTTGTTCTTAATGGCTGTTTTGTCTGAATGAAAGAAAGGTTCTCTACTTTTTTCTGTACTTTTAGTGTTGGTGATCTCTTGTTTAAAACAATAGAACACTTGAACACTAAGTTGTGGTGAATAATTTACCTCATATCTCTTCTTTTGAGATTGTTTTAAGAATATTATGAGAATATTATAACTTTTGTCCAGATTTTTAAATTAGTTTTATGTTATTTTATTGAGAGATTCATATTTTTCCACTGTCAGATTTTTTTTTCTTGCTGCAAAAGTGAAATAATCTTATAATATTCTGACAATGACTTTCTAATGTGAAATATTAAATATGTTGACTATATTTAGAGTGATTTCTCTTGCTAAGATATGTTTCTGCAGTAGCCTCTACTCATGTTTTGCCCTTTTACAACAGCTTTACCGAAAAAAGAAATAAGTGAAACACAATTAAAGCCATTTTCTTTTGCCAAAAAAGTAGTTCCAGCAGCTTTGAGTGAAACTACCACTGATCCTCAGCAACAGTGAAATGATAAGGTATAACCACATGAATAACCACATATGTGAAGTAACTGTAGCATAAATAAAAGATATATTCACATAAACAGGGTCTTATACATTTAGATCTAATTATTTTTATGTTAGAGGGAGCTTATGTTCTGTAGTTCACCAGAAAAAACAACTAATCATATTTATTCACCATAAAATGAGGCAAATCTATGGTCTGCTCACAACATGCAGATGACAGAACATATCACTGCTGTCGGAAGAAAACCGCATTTTTTGTCATTTTTCAGTTTTTGACATAATTTGGAAAGTGCCTGTTGTCCTTTATATTGTGTGTAAATTTCATGATGAATGGAACAAAAGAAGCGGCCCAAAATGACTTGGGAAAACGTCTGGTTCCATTGACTTACATTAAAAGTGAAGTAGGTTTTTTCCTTCTCCTGTAAAGTTCTCATTTTGGAGAAACAGCGATATGCAGATAAGCCAGCTTAGACTGTGTTTAACTGACATCTGGGGTCTTTTCAAAGCTTTCAGTTTTCCCAGGAATGACCACTTCATACTGCACTTCATGCTGTAACCACTCCCAGTACACTGTGAGCACACATTTCAAAGGGAACTACACTGTTCACTTCATTTACAGCGATGTTGGACTTGAGCCGAGGACCAAAAACGACAAAACAGTAAATAAGGCTGGTCGATTTTTACAGGTTTATTTTATAACATTGCACTATATTTTGTCACTAAAGCACTTTAAAATGCCTTTTTGAGAGGAAAATATGATTTGTTGGGTTATATACAGAATACCTGTGTTTGTTATCTCAGTGGGCTGAGTAAACCTCTGGTGGGCCGAGTCAAACGTCCAGCCCTGATTTGAAGATATCTGATTATCTGTATGTGTGTTTGATAGTCATCTGCTAAAGCAATCTGAGGACTGTATTAAACAGTAATAACGTTTACAGCAGCAGTAAAGAGAAATAACAGCAGTCCAGTTCAGTTTGTCCCTCTCTCTCTCTCTCTCTCTCTCTCATTCTCTCTCTCTCATTCTCTCTCTCTCATTCTCTCTCTCTCACTCTCTCTCTCTCCCTCTCTCTCTCATTCTCTCTCTCTCTCTCTCTCTCTCTCTCTCTCTCTCTCCCTCTCTCTCTCATTCTCTCTCTCCCGCTCAGGCTTCTTATTCGCCAGCTTCCTGATTTCAGTAGCAGAATTCATTCATTTCGTTTTATACTGGTTTAATTCACTCCTGATGCTGCACTCTGACAGAAGTAACTCAGAAAAACAAATAAATAAAAGTGTCTTCTTTCATTTCCTGATCGAAATGCTGGACTTGAGTGGACAGTTGGGTTTAAGGCTCATCCTGATAATACAATTATCATATAAGTAAAATTATTATTCTGGATAGTAATGCATGATTTATAACTGTGTTGAACTCAGACGGTGTTATACTCAGACTATGTTATACTCAGACTGTGTTATACTGAGACTGTATTATAATCAGACTGTGTAGAACTCAGACTGTGTTATACTGAGACTGTATTATAATCAGACTGTGTAGAACTCAGACTGTTATACTGAGACTGTATTATACTCAGACTATATTATACTCAGACTGTGTTATACTCAGACTGTATTATAATCAGACTGCGTAGAACTCAGACTGTGTTGAACTCAGACTGTGTTGAACTCAAACTGTGTAGAACTCAGACTGTGTTTAACTCAGACTGTTATACTCAGACTGTGTTTAACTCAGACTGTGTTTAACTCAGACTGTTATACTCAGACTGTGTTGAACTCAGATTGTTTAACTCAGACTGTTATACTCAGACTGTGTTTAACTCAGACTGTGTTTAACTCAGACTGTTATACTCAGACTGTGTTGAACTCAGACTGTGTTTAACTCAGACTGTGCTGAACTCAGACTGGGTTATGCTCAAACTGTATTATAATCAGACTGTGTAGAACTCAGACTGTGTTGAACTCAAACTGTGTAGAACTCAGACTGTTATATTCAGACTATGTAGAACTCAGACTGTGTTGAATTCAGACTGTGTTTAACTCAGACTGTTTACCTCAGATTGTACAGAATTCAGACTGTGTTGAACTCAGACTATGTTAGACTGTCATACTCAGGCTGTATTTAACTCAGATTGTGTTCTACTCACTGTGTTTCACTCATCCTGTGTTAGACTGTGTAGAACCCAAACTGTGTTAGACTGTGTAGAACCCAAACTGTGTTAGACTGTGTTTAACTCAGTCTGTGTTATACTCAGACTCCGTAGAACTCAGACTGTGTTAGACTGTTTAACTCAGACTGTGTTATATTCAGACTATGAAGAACTCAGACTATGTAAAACTTAGACGGTGTCTAAATCAGACAGTTGAACTCAGACTGTGTAGAACTCTTACCTGGTGTACACAGGGCCTCCGATGTGGTCGGAACCAAACACACCATCCACACCATCCACACAGTCCACACAGTCCACAAAGTCCACATCTCTTCTTCTGAACCAATAATGTTCTCCTCGCCTCTCTGTCTGTCTTTTACCTCTCTCTGTCTCTCTCTGTTTCTCTCTGTCTCTCTCTGTTTGTCTCTCTCTCTCTCTCCTCTCTCTCTCTCTCTCTCTGAAATATGACTGAGCTGTAGTGTGGTGTGAGGTTAATCCACAGAGGGCTGGACTGAGTGGATTAATGGTTAAGCAACAGAGAGAAAGACAGAGGGAGAGAGAGAGAGGGAGAGAGAGAGGGAGAGAGAGAGAGGGAGAGAGAGAGGGAGAGAGAGACAGTGTTAAATAAGTGCTGCTGTATAATGGGTTGTTGAACGTGGGTAAACACTGCGCTTATATTTGCCCTTTGTGAGCCACCTGCTCTTTCTGTACTTACAGTTCTCACTGCTTCTTAAAGCAGGGGTGCCCAAACTTTTTGCCTTGGGGGGACCAAAGGGCAGACTCCTCTCCAAGTACATTTTGGCCATTTCTGTTGGTCCATTCAGACTCAACTCAACTCAACTCTACTCAACTCATTTTGGTACCAGCTGCTTCATTTTCCACTGCAGATATGGGACCCCTCAATGCAGCTGGTTGTCATAGCAACGCCAAATGAAACTTCCATGATAGGATGGAGACAAATTTTGTGGCAGCAAGACCAAAGACAAAAACAAAACAAACAAAAACATCAGACGACGAGGCGCTGATGGACTATGTTTGTGGTCAGGGAGGAAAGCTGGGTAAAACTGACCGATCCCCTGAACGAGTCCTCTACGGTTGGGCAGCGGTAGAGCTAAAGGTCTATAATGGCCAACCTCCACGAGAAAAACGTGACTTTTATCACAGTTAATGCGTCACCTCTCTAAAAGCCTGCGCCTGCAAACGAGCTGTTCGGTCTGAAATCAGCATAAAACTGGTCTATGATTAACTCACTTCAGTGAACTCTCAGCAGCAGCTGAGTCAGGACAGCTGCTTTAGACGGGCATCACGAAACGAGGGGTGGGCCGAACATTTCAGTCCTGCAGACGGGGGAATAGAAAAGACCACCATAATGCATAAAAAGTGTTGGCATTGTAAATCTAAATACTAATAGACAAAAAAGGTTAAATACCTGTAAATAAACCACACATATGCTGTATTTTAGCACTGCTGATCATTTACAGAAATAGGATGTAAATTCACAAAAACAAGTGAAGTTACTGGTTCAGTTCCCCAGTTAAAAAGTCAGATTCCTGGTTAACCAGTTACTTAGTAAGTTCAGTGTGTAGTTAGTGAGTTGAGACCCTCAGTGAGTTTAGTTAGAGAGTTAGTTAGAACTGTAACTGATGATTTTGATTACTCGGGTAGTTACGTACCTGGTTAGTTGTTCTGTTACTAAGGTAGTTACCTGGTTAGCAAGTCACCTGATTACTCAGTTAGGTGGTTATTTAGTTATAAACCAGGTTGATGAGGAGTTTCACATTAAAAAAACAACAAAATAAATTAATAAATATATATATTTACAGTTCAGAGTTCAGCTCAAAGTTGGGTCAGTTTCAGTGACACTGAATTAGATCAAAAATAGTCATTATAAAATAATTATTAAAAGGAATTAAAAAGGGGCAGAATACAAATATTCACAATTCATATGAAAAAAGATAAATGAGTTTATTAAAATGTCCGATTTACATTAAAAACACGAAGAATCAAATTCCCAAAAATTCATAATTCACATCAAGAACAGGAGGAAAAAATTCCCAAAATACTCTTAATTCATATTTAAAAAAAAGGAATAAAATTCCAAACATTTTACGTAGAAAAGGAGGAATAACATTCCTAAATATCCTTAATCCTTAATTGACAATTCACAACAAAACAGGAGGAATAAAATTCCTAAAATATTCATAAATCACATCAAAATCAGGTGATATAAATTCCCAAATATTCATAATTCATATTTAAAAAGGAGCAATAAATTTCCCAATGATTCATGTAGAAAGGGAGGAATAAAATTCCCAAATATTCATAAATCACATCAAAAACAGGAGGAATAAAATTCCCAAATATTCATAATTCACATCAAAAACAGGAGATATAAAATTCCCAAATATTCATAATTCATGTATAAAATAAAATTACTGAGCATTTGCAATTCACATAAAACACAATTACAAAAAATTCCCAAATCACATTAAAAATACATAGTGGGAAAATTCTCAAGCATTCCCAATTCGCATTAAGAAGAGGAACAAAACTTCCAAATATTCCAAATCAAAATAAAAATAGAGGTATACGATTCCCAAATAATTCCCAATTTACATTAAAACAGGAATGCAGTTCCAGGCGTCTACACAGGGATTCCTGAGCAGAGCGCGATGTTCTCTTTTCACCACACGGTGGCGGTGTGTCTCCATAATTCACAGCCATAACGATCATCTGGTTTTATTATCATGATGAGCCTCAAACTCTGAGGATGACAGTATTCCCAACTGTATTCCAACCTGGAACCGTCCAGCATTCCAGATCAGGAATGAAAGAGGACTGACTTATTATTTACGTGTGTTTTTATGAGTTATGAGTGAATTAAATCAGTATAAAACGAAATGAAGGAATTCTGTTAATTAAAAGAGGCTCCCTAATTGGAATTCCCCGTTCCACCTTAAATTGGGCAGCAGTTACTGAGGCGCCAGAATGTAACTGCTGCACTATTTAAGGTGGAACGGGGAATTCCAATTCGGGAGCCAACTTAAACCTTAAAGAGAGAGAGAGAGGGAGAGGGAGAGAGAGACAGACACAAGGAGAGGGAGAGAGAGGGAGAGAGAGGGAGAGAGAGAGAGATAGACAGGGGGAGAGGGAGAGAGAGGGAGAGATAGACAGAAGGAGAGGGAGAGAGAGGGAGAGATAGACAGAAGGAGAGGGAGAGAGGGGGGGGAGAGAGAGAGAGAGAGAGAGAGAGAGAGAGAGAGAGGGAGAGGGAGAGAGAGAGAGAGAGAGAGAGAGAGAGAGAGAGAGAGAGAGAGACGCGCGTGTATACATATGTCTATGCGCGCGCGCGCGATAAGCTCCTGCCCAGCTGCTCTCGCGCCTCCCTCCTCCGCGCCTTCCCTGCGCGTGTTCCCTTCACTCTGCTGCCTAACCCTCTCTGCGCGCGCGTGTTTGAGTGTGTATGTGTGTGATGCGCGCGCGCTGATGTCCGGTGTGCCCGGCGGTGCCGGTGTGGTCTTCAGTCCGCGGCTGCTCGCGCTCTGCCTCGCGCTCGGACTCCTCGTGGAAGCTGCCGGTGGATTAAAGGGAAAAACTCTCGTGGTGGATTAGAGCGGCGAATCTCCACACACACACACACACACACACACACACACACACACACACACACTGCAGCAGGTGAGCGAAGCCGGACCTGCACCGGGAGGGCGGACCAGAGAGAGCGCGCGCGTTTCCAGCCGGTAGGTTTACACGGTTACACTGAAGCGGGCTGGAGAAGCCGGCTAGGCTGTTAGCAAACACACTTAAAAAGATGGTTCTTTAAGGGTTCTCTAGTAAAGAGAATGGTTCTGTTGGGTTCTGTACTGAGCCGTTTCATGCTTAAAGGGTTCTCCGCGTTCTGAAATGGTTCTTCAGGTCGATGGAGAATGTGTTTGGTTCTATGTAGAATCTTTCTGAAAATGGTTCTGCTGTTGTAACAAGCTTGACATGGTAACAATAGAAGAACCCTTTTCAGAAAGGTTCTGTATAGACCCATGTACAACACATTCTCCATCAATCTGAAGAACTCTTTAAGCATTAAATGGTTCTACGTAGAACTCATGGTTCTAAACAGAACCGTTCCGTTTACTAAATAACTTTTGAAGAACCATTCGTTTTAAGAGTGCACTGTACTGAAATAACAAGTAGAGCAGAAGAGAAAAACTGGAAAAAACACTGAGTAAATCTAATATTGGCTGTTTGAGTGTCAGTGTGTCAGTCTTAGAAGCTGGTTGGTCATTTTGTGCTTCTCACTATTAAAGTAATCTCAAACATTTGAAAAATAGAGTAAAAATAAAGTCCAAAAATAAAAAGAAAACCTTGTATCTCCAAAATGGGAACTTTACAGGAGAAGGAAAAAACATACTCTACTTGTAATGTAAGTCAATGGAACCAGACTTTTTTACAAGTCATTTTGGGTCATTTCTTTTGGTCCATTCATCATGAAATTTACGTACAACATATAGAACCATGGGCATTTTCAAATTATGTCAAAAACTGAAAAACGGTTTTATTATCCGACAGCAGCGATATATAATCAAGGGCAGAAATAACACTTAAACACTTAAATATGTCAATTTTCTGTCATTTTTACTGCAAAATTTCTATTTACTTGCTTTACGTTTAACATACTGGAAAACTTTTGTAGTTTTCTCATCATTTAAAAATGCCTTTTCAGCCTTTACACCGTGTGTACATTTGAATGAATCGTCCAAAAGAAAAGGCCCAAAGTTACTTGTAAAAAAGTCTGCTTATATGGACTTACATTAAAGTAAAGTACGTTATTTCTTTCTCCTGTGAAGTTACCATTTTGGAGATACAAGATTTTGATCCGACAGCAGTGATGTGTGTATGAGGTGTCATCACTTTTGCACAGGCCACATTTTATTTTCTGTTTTTCCACTGTGTTAAATTCAGTACGTAAACAGTATTTGTGTATTGAAGTGTGCAGAAGTGTGCTCCCTGTAGAGGATGTGTTCACTTAATTACACTTAGAGCAACAACATGGAGTTTACGACTTTCAGGTGATTTGTTTTCAGTTTCTCAAACACACTTTTCCAAAGTTCAGTCTGAGTCGTTGGTTGCATTTTCTGCTTCTTAATATCCGAGTGATCCCAAACACATTCAGACTTCTCCTCCTCTTGTGAGGCCACTATTGGTTGGCGTTTGGAGGTTGGCACCATGACTCTTGGAGGTTTGGCTCCAACAGCCATGATTTATTATATATAAGGCAGAGGTGGAAATGTTATGTCTGAGCTTGATGGTTGTTGTTTGTTTTGTCTGTTGTGAGACTGAGGCTGTGCACCAATCAGATTTTTTAATATTTGTGATAGTTTGGATTCCTTTTAGGGACTGAATGTAAATGACTAAAATGTAACTGGATCACTTTACTCACTAATATATGAACTAATGGAAATATATAAACCTCAGTATCTGCGCTGACAGATGCTGGATGGTCTAAGAAGCTCCTCAGCAGGTTCTGTATTGAGTTTTTGACCGGATACTTTGGTGCCCATGTTCAGTATTTGGTAGCTGGTTCTCCTTCTGCCTGAGTCACAGTATAGCTGTGATATTGTGACACCGCTGGTCGTTATACGGAGGATAATGAGGGCATTGTTTTTCGGTCCAGCCTGGTCAAGCTCACTAAAAGGCTGAAGATCTGATACAGAGCACAGAGCTTAGCGTCTGCCATGGAGTTAAACAGGAAAATCACCAGGGTTTAATTAACTCCTGCTGAGTTGGGGATTCCTGTAATCCTGAGTTTATTTATCCTGCTGATATGGATGTTGAGGCCATCAGGTTGTCCGTGAAAAGCAAGGACACTGACGTAATCAACGAACACAGTGAACACAATGAACACTAATCAACCTGGACAGTTAAAGGGCATTTCCACTGTTGTCATTCAGGGTGGTTTGGTGTGAAATTCGCCCATCTAGAGAAACTTCACAGTGGTGGTGATAGGAACCAGACGTCCATCTCTAATTTATTACGTGAAATACGTTTGCTTAAGATTTTGTCTTACAATCAATTTTTGGATTTTTCTGACTAATATTGAGAAATAAATGTGATTTTTTCCGATGTAATGACCTTTTTTAGATTTAAGGCTTGAGTGCTGAATGTATCTTGCAGGACAGCCAGTTCAATCTGGCCATTTTTAGACTTGCATTGCGGTTTTAATTTAAATACAATAATTTTTTCAGCTCTAATAAAAGTGTGTTACTGCGATTTTATCACGGGGAAGGGTGTTGTTAGGCACGCAGCGCAGTTATTATTAGTAATAATCGCCATAGACAAGTAAAGAAATGTAGTTCCATTAGAGTACGGTATGGTTGCCAAGCAACCATGGACCACTGAATGAGGAGAACGTTTGGTCGCCCATCGCTGTATGTTGCGGTTGTTTCATGAATGTTTTAACTTTTTCTCATATAACAATGAACACATAATAACACAGCACTGTTTAATGCAAAACTTTCACTTTATAAGTACTTTTCAGTCACTAAATCACCACCACAGTCTTATTTAGCTCCAATCCAGCGGCGCTTTCTTCTCACGCTGGGGCTGAATCTCAAACGGCTCCCTGCTCCCTACATAGTGCACTACGTAGGAGTTTAAATACTGGATCCTGCAGCCTGACAGAGCAAAATACAGCTAAGAAACAGTCATTTGGGACTCAGACACATCCACACTCGATACATGATGCACTGTTTGGCTGTAGAGGCTAGAATTTCTAAATTTCCATAGCTAGAACACTATTTAGGGAGAACAGAGCCGTTTGGGATTCAGCCTGGGTTTGACGTGACTTCTGACTGCAACACGAACATTTGTGTGCAAGACATTCAAGTGACGTTTTTAGACTTTTATACTGCAGTTTTACAGTTAATCATACTGTAAGTGCTTTAATTCAAGCCTGTGATATTAATGATGGAGCTGTTTAGGCTGTTGGCTCTTTTAGCCTGTTAGCTAGCTGACCAGCCCAGTTCTAGTTAAGAACATAAGTCGACAGAACGCAGCCCAGCCAACCAGATTTTAGAACCAGAACTATCCATTTTATAGTTTAAAGTATATTTTTAACAGCCATTCATGGTGGAGGGATACATGCAGGGCGGTTTAAGGCAAAATAGTCCCTAAAGAAAATGTATTCTTTTAGATTTACCATTATTTATTTTAAGAAAAGCTCAGAGGACTCGTGCAGGTTCACTGTGGTTTCGATGGTAAATACATTGGCTATATTTGTGTTGTAGTCATGGCGACCCCTGGTTCCTATCACCACCACTGTAAAGACATCTGAACCATTTCACACCAAACCACTCTGAATGGCTCTGTTTTTGATCTTGATTTCCATGACTGGAAAAATTGGTGGAATTCCGTTTTAAAGTCTGAGGAGCTGCCGTTAGTCTGCACTGCTGCTCAGTTATTACCGTTTCTCAGTAACTTCACTGTGTCAGTGCTTTATGAGGGGCTTGTTGGGGATTATAAAATATGGCGCTGTGAGTCAGGCTGGAAACAGCCTTGAAACTTGTGACCTCCCAACGCAACGGGAACAAACGGGCTGTTTTCAGGTTCTGTTTTGTGCAGCTGTGCGTGTTTTAAAAGCGTGTGAAATGGAGACGACAGGAAGGGTGCTGCCACTGGAACAGAGATAAGCTCCCCCACCCAGGGACCCACACCAAACTGCACTACCACACTCCTGTACTCTTTCACTCCTCTATATAACCCACCCCGTTCCCATCATTAACACTAGATCTGGCCATTATTACACCATTACACTCTCAGAAATAAAGGTACTACACTGTCACTGGGGCAGTGCCCCTCCTGTCACTGGGGTGGGACCCTCAAGGCTCCATCTCAGTACCTTTAGTCAGGGAACATAACTGAACCATAATCCACTGAAATGATATGTTCTGAGCTGTACTGACTCCACACACCCCGTCTCGTCTCCAGGCTTTATTTTACTGCTCTGTTTTAAAACATTCGGTTATGAAAAGGTACAAATACGAACTTTTCCCCTGGAAAAACTTATTTAAGGTTCACAATCATACCGTAACCCTATTGTTTCCAAATGAAGGCGAAAGCAGAGAGCTAATAGCAGGTTTAAAGTGATCTGGCTGTGTGTTTGTGCTGTATTTCTGGGTTGTGGGATGTTAGACCTGGTTTCTCTCACTCTGGCTAGTTTGTTTATAATATGAAGGCTAAAAGCAGAGATGTAATGTAACAGTAGCGAGTGGGTTTGGGTGATTTTGGAGCTGGATTGCTGGCTGATGGACGGTCACAGGTGGATGAAATCACTCTGGATGGTGAGGCAGTGTCTGATGTGTGAACCATGTTGCTGTTTTAACCCTTTGTTGGAATATAAAGGGCAAAAAGCAAAGCAATAATATCAGGATTTCTGTTGATTTTCAGAGCCAAATTACTCAGTTATGCTGATGTCACAGCTTAATGACGTCAGACTCCCTAGTTAGGGTCGGGTCTACTGAATGTCCTGATGTGGATCATGTCTGTAGCTTAAACCGTTCTGAAGTTATGAAGGCTGGAAATCAACTACATTTTTGCCTGCAACCAACTGTTGCAGCCAAACGTGTCCTGGCTGACTCTGACTGGAGTGAACTGTGGAAACTGTGTGAATCTCTGCAGAGTGAACTGACTTCACTATCCACACACACACAGACACAGATCTGTGTGTGTGTGTGTGTGTGTGTGTGTG